AGGAACGACAAATGGGATGAAATTCAAGCAACCCAATTCTCAGCATTACCATGCAGATCCCATCCCTTCCTTTTTTAATTAAGTGAGGAGACTGACATCAAATTTTTCTCCAACCAAAAGGAGATGAAGTATAAGTTAGCTTCTAATATGAGAACATGTTTTCAAACCTGCCCTCCCCAGTTACACAATTACCTTTTTTTGTCCCTCCCTCCTATCCCTATCATTTTATCAAGGCCACTCTCCCTCCCACCAGCCTCTCGAGGTTCCCCGATACAAGTATTTTTAGTTTTAAAATTCAACTGGTTGCATTACTTTGTGGAGCCTGGATCGTTTGATTTGTCGACTGAAGGATGTTTCTGTGAGGTAAGCTTAAAAGTACACTCAGCGAATACTGTTGTTACCTTGCTTTGGCAGTGTGAGGGGCAACAAATCGACCCCTTCTACTGTTGGCAACTGACAGTACTGCTTTTATGACTTTTAATGCCGCTAGCATTTAGATTAAAAGTTAGTCAATGAAGCTGTAAAGGTAGATCCGATCTTTAAAGGAGCCGTGTCACATGCATTGCGCATGCTCAATTCTTTGAAAAGTGTTCAGCCCAACAAGAAATCAAACTGACGCGAATCCTCACAAATCAAGTGAAAATCTTTTTCCATCGTCGCTAATCGGTGTTCGTTTTGTATTTTATCTTTATACTTAAATTATTTAGGCATAAGGCTTTCGTGTTACAGTAATTTTTTGGAGAATTGTGGAAATCCTAAGCGCTATTTAGCGCTCCAAGCGAAGGATGTCGGCTGGAGGCAGTAAACGCTACGGCAGTGGCCGTAGGGTCTTGTCACCTGGAAGCTTTGTTAGGAGCATAGAGAAGAGATCTGACTCTCGGAGTTCGTGGCTCAAGTCCCATGGAAGGATTTACGTCCGCCGTGACATTCTGGACACATTTAAAACGCTGAAAGCTCAGTGTGTCTTCTCCACCGACACTGCTTTCTTGCAGCATTTGTTGTCGTTTGAGATGCGAAGGCAACAAAGGTGAGAAAATAAGACTTCTACATTTATATTGCTTTTTAGTCTAAGCTGCAACGTCGAATCTAACTACCTATTAAATGTTACTGTATTTTAACAGTTTAAAAGCCAAGCAAGCCATGAAGAAGAGTACGGAAGAGTCAAGTGCAGTACAACAACCGTAAGCAGGTAAGATGCACAAGATCGATCTGGAATCCCTGTTGAGGATGTGAGCAGCAGTGCATGTGGCGAACATTTATGGACACAGTCCATCGGGATTAATTCTGCTTTCATTGAAATAAAAGTTATAATATTTTGTATATTGTTTTGCAGATGATTCTAATTTCCACACCTCGACCCCTGTGAAAAGAGGCCAGTATGACGGTTCTGTCATTGCTCCACCAGTGGAAAGTCCAGTTGCTGGAATGGCTGGTGACAATAGGTAGGTTATCATTTCGGTATTGATTTTTTGTTTCCATATTTCACATATCTGTCTCGGACATAACGGTGAAGGAGCAATTTGAAGTTCTTCCTGTGATAAAAATTTTAGATGCATCAGGTTTTCATTGAGTGAATGTCTGAACATTCAATAAATCATGATGGATGAGGAAGAAAGTTTTAGTAACTATTCTTTCAAGTAGTTCAGTCTGGTATTTCCCTTTGGTTTTTTTCTTTATTTATTTATTTTTGTGCATGAAAACCTCTGTTAGCAAGGTACAACAGTACTTTTAGAGAGATGTTTATTGTAAATCTGCTGCACCTTTTCCACAGTGACATTGACATCACAGGCACCGACCACTCTGATGTCAACTCAAATAGACAGTAGCAGCAACTCTTCTGCGACAGATTCGTCTGCAGAAAGTGAAGATGACAACTGCTTCTTGTAAGTATGAAAAAAGCACGTTGATCTTCCCAATAATTTCGAAAGGTGGTGTTATGATCATTAGGTTGTGCTTTTCTTGTCAACTTTTTTCTCATCAATTGAACCAAACCATCAATGGGAGCTGTGTTGTCATTTCCATATTCTTACCAAAATTTCTGCTGTTATTTACAACCCGTGCTTTTTGCCTGTGGGTTTTCAATGCTTTCTATTTATCAATGAACTCAAGTAGTTTACTTTGTATTTTGTAAACATACTAAACTATTTTCCTTGTATTCTAGCTGATGCTTTTAGACAGATAGTCCACTCACTTGATGTCTGGCATAAGTCAAAAGGAATCCGGAAGTGTCTTTCAAAATGTGAGTTAGAGTTGATATTATATTAATTTTGCAGTGGCCACAAAGAACAAATTTAGTGTAATTCTTTCTAAATTATATGTGACTCTGTCCCATGTTTTGGCAAGACTCATTCCTATAAATAGAACATAAACATACATTGTGTTGTCACTTGTAAATACGCCCATGTAGTATACTTCACTGTTGTATATTTCCAGGGTAATCAAATCATATCTTTAACCAATGGGCCAGAAATGGACTAAGAAATGTTGTTAACATAATCTGTAGAGAATTAAATGCTCAAAGTTTGACAATGATGATTGGACTGTCAATGTAGGTTTATTTTTTTGAGTCCTTGCATTTATCTCTGCCAGAGAGAAAAATTTAAGGCTTGTTATTGATCTTCTGTAGGTGGGAAGTGCAAAGGGGATGGTCTGACCACATTGTTAGACACTTTTGGCACTGTTGCAGTCTGGCATCTGAAGTCGAAGACAATGACCTAGAAGCTCTGAAGATATTGAAGGTAATTCCAATTTATCATCTTTTTTAAAGTAATTAATAACAGGGCTGTCGGTAAGAGGTGATGGGTCTATGTGGCCCCCAGCTACACTCAAAGGAAAATAGAAGAAAAATGGAACCAAACGAAACCCCCCATTGTTTGATTCTCTGCCTACTTATTTTATGTACCAAGCAACTTGAAATCTTAGTGACAGCTCTGAATCAATTTTCAAAGACTTTTTTGAAAATTATCACATTATATTATATCAGGCTGTAAAAACTTTGTTTCTTCACAATGTTTTAGGGTCTGTTTACATGGAGGTGGGGGACCTCGGATAGGTGAGGTAAAATGTGGTGGGTCACCCCGTCTGTCAAATTAAAATGAGATATTATATGGACAAGCGGGATACCCCACCAAAGCGGGTTACCTCACCTACATGGGGTTCCCTACCTCCATGTAAACAGACCCTATGTCATTATCATCTTGTTATATCTATTTCAATGAAATTTTACTATTATGAAATCAGGATACCTGGATCTCACTATTACACCATGTGTGCAATCAACATGAGTGAGCTGATGGCCATTGTGACCAGGAGCCAATCACTGAGGAAAACCACCAGCTTCCATGGTTTGACAGGAGATCCAAAGAGTTTGAGGCACTGCAAAAAATTATCCTGGATCCTGACCTTCTTGAAAGTTTCAAGTACTACACCAGATTCAGGTATATAAGGGGAACCCTGTTTTCGTAAGAAAGACTAAATATATATCTTATTTCAATACGTTGGTTTATTCAAATATAATGTTTATGGATGACTGTTATGGTGCTCAAAGAAAAAATATTTTGCTTTGTATTCCTGTCTGCTTGGTCCTTGGCAAAAGAGATGTAGGGAGGAAACTTAAAAGAATAATGTGTTAATGAATACTATTTCAATAACTCTGAGCAGCCCCATTCCTTAAACTAAGCTCAGTAGTGTTAACGTTGTCAGGCTTAGGCAAGGGTTTATTTTTTATTGCCACTGTGGACCTTGTGAAAACCTTCTTAAGGTGTTGGCCAGCCCCTAAATGCCTTTCTATGTCAAGCTCAATTCATTGTCCTTTTTTAATTATTACATGTATATTTAACCATATTTTTCAAAAATATTTATTTTACTTTTAGGCATACAGGCGTATTAGAATGAGCCAACTCTCTGTCATTGATGTATGCCAGCAAGAGAATTTCCTACACGTAAGTAACGACACTTCATAGTTTTAAAAGTTCATAGTATTTATATTATCTGTAGGGTATAGCGAAGGGGAGCTCAAATATTGTTGTATACTTCAAAAAATTGCACTGTGTGAACAAAGATCTCATGGAACACTGTCTATTTTGATCAATTGTTCTTTTTAGGAAGAAAGTCTACAAAGCAAGAAAACAATTAGCTGCCATTGACTGGAACTATCACCTCGATATTCCTGAACAAGAAGATGTGCTAGGCGAGGTTGCTGTGACCCGGAAGTACAACCAAAGACTATGGTTATATTTGGATGCTTCTGGCTAAAGTGTTTCGTCTACGTGTGGAGAATAATGAAAATATGCAGAGGGCCGTCCCAATGGAACCTGATGACCCAAGGAGGATAGCCCCTACAGTTGCTGTGGTGCCACCCCCACCTTCACGCGAGCTCTTTATTCAGCACAGCAGCAGGTTTAAGAAAAACTAGGAAACACGATGTAAAATATGTAATAAATATGCAACATTTATGTATTCATGTGCAGTGTAAGAAAATATTCATCAAAGAAGGACTGTCATGTATGATGCACAACAAGCAACAGTGATGTTTTTGACAATAAATTGACAATCAGTATAACCTATGATAATTGTTTAATAATTTTAATCCACAATATGTGAAACTAAATAATGCAAAAGTTAACCGAAGACAAAGGATTGGTCAGTAAATGTGAATACTGGAGTAGGTTGGTCCTTATTGAACTAACTGTTGGAATCCATTTTTGTGAGTCTAATTATCCATATTATAAAATTTGCTTGCACTGCCACAATACAAATACAGCTGTAATGCTATTGTTTTCATGGGGTAATATTCACAGGGGTACTCAATCCAGGACAACTTTTTTTTTAGGGGGCTGGGGTTGGGGGTATGGCATGACCTTGAACAAACCCACTGCAATTAAAAATTCCTTGTAGAAACCTATCAAAAAGTTATTTCCATTTTAGCGAGGTTTGAACCCCATGTACACCCCAGTTGAGGAAGGGTAGTGCTCTTGAATTTTCCATACACAGCATGAAGGGCATACCCTTCTTTTGTGGTTTCCAAGGTAGCCATATTCTTCAATTATATAACGACGATAGGCAGCCTTTTGGAAGGCTCTGCTGCTATTATCTTGACGGTCGTTTCTGATATCCCCTGAACACTTTATACTTAATTGTAAATAATCAGGGTCCAGGCATAGCTTGCGAAAGCGTGCGCTAAGTGAGACACAGTCTCTAGAATTACAGCACCGGTTCTCAACCTCCTGTGACATTCTGCGGCAATGTCCACATTTGCACCACTCAGGCACTGGTTCACTTGACCTTGCCATAGATGCTGTTGGCGGTGGCCTGAAAGATGAGGGCCCACCTGAAGTTGATGTTCCAGATATGCTCGAGGGGGTGGGCTGGGGTGGATGCAGGTATAGATTGGGTGGGGTTCGGTGGTGCTGGACTTGACACTTCTGGGGGGATAGAGAAAGGGAAGATGGGAGAGCGGCATCATCATTCTCATCTTCTGGGTCCTCCTGGATAAGAAGCATATCTATATAGTCCATGCTGCCCACTCGCCTCTGTAGAGCTCTTGTAGCAAGTTTTTTTGCTAGCTCCTCATCCAGGGTTTGGATAAACTCCTGTGAGGTTGAAAAATAGTGCAATAATTTGTTAGAGTAGCTGGACAATTACTTTTTATCACATTCTGTCGAAGCCTGACACCTAGATTCTTTTAAGAGCGTAATCGACGAGAAAATAATAAATAAAAAGGGGACTTCCCTAAGAAATCTTGCACACCTCAGAACATGACACACAAACGAGACGCTACAACAAAAGACAATTTGCTCCATTTAGGGGAAGCAACGATCAGCGACTTGTACAAGGGAAACTTACTAGATAAAGGAATAGCAGATGAGATTTTTGAAGGACTATCTTTGGTGCCATCGACTATGAATTATAATTCAGTATTGTACCTTCACTCGTCGATTTTCCATGTCCCGTTCTTGCTCCTCCGTAAGACCATTATCCGTTTGGCCTGGCGGTCCTTGCACGAATCCCCATCCTTGGGATGCCACGGATGCAGCCTTCACATGATAAAAAAGAAATCGCAAACTGTACTAGTACTTCCTACTATAGCCTGTGAACAGGCCTTTGGTCGAGCGGGGAATTAGGGAGAGGGAAAAGCGAAAAGGCCTGTGGACAAGCCTTTGGGACCGCCGTTCCACGGCACCCGCTGTGCATCAGATCCTGATGCAAGTTCTTATTGGCGAGAACACTGACTGTTGAAAGGTCTGATTGACATCGGCTTTTCGGTCGGCACGTAACACGCGTTTGGAAATAACAAAACACTCCAAAAACTGTTAAGCTTGTTCAAAAGCTATTACCAAGGGAGGAACTACGCGCTCCAGTCAAAAGACTCACACTATCTAATGGATAGAAAAACACTAGGCTGGAGTTTACCGAGTCAAAATGCAATTCTCCATAGTTGATGTAGCTTCGGTTTAAGCTGCACTTGAATCTTATAACTTTGGATCTGTAAATTACTATCCGTGATCATTTTAAACATTCTGCAAAGAAAACTAACGACCTGGGCCCAGCGTGATACAACATTTCAGAAAAACATTACATTTACGGACTAAAGAAAATCGCTTAGTTATTCAGATCCAGAGGGCACTTTGGAGAAAAGTACGACCCTTATTCAGCCGCAATAAAAAGCTTTACGCTTCAAAAGAGGTCAAAGAAAATGCTCTTGCATCAGAGAGGGCAAATCCTGCCGACCAGAGACAAAAACCACAGTAAATCGATATGTATGCCATGACCTCTCAGTGTGAAACCAGCGGCTAAAACCATATTTGCCCAGTGAAAATGTAGAACCTTCCAGAGCATAATCTACCGAGCAGAGGAAAAAACTTATGGGAACAGGCAGCATTTTGGCGTGAGGTAAACGCCGTGTAGGCCTACCGCCCTCTTTTATTGCTATAAATGCGGGATAAATACCCAAAGGTGTAATTCCTGTCGGCGATCGAAGCGCTGTTGATTTCTTTGTACTTGTCTTTGGAGGTTCACGTTCTGGAGAAGTCATGATAGTATCTGTACCTTTCGCATTCCAAGTTCGCTCATTGCAGGGGCTTGTTGAATTAGAAACTGAACTAGCAAGACGAACGGCGCGATGAGCACAAGTTAAGCAGCTTAAATCGGAAAAGCTTTCTCCTTGCACAAGAGGAAATCTTGAGCAATCAAATGCTTGCGCTAGTACAACGCTGTCTTGGCCACTGTCAACCAGCAAGGTCTTATTTCTTGAAACGCCAACGACCGGCACCGTATTAATTCTCTTACCGGAGATCAACGATTTTTTTCAAAATCGACAATTAGGCTCGCGGTCCATTTCACTTTGTTTTGAGACGAAGCAAAACACGGATGTTTTCCCTTTAATTTTCCCAGGAGTTACTCACGCGCGAAATTGATTGACAGATAACGATCTTGCTGACAGATGTTCGGCAAGATAATTACAAGAGGGCGGAATAGCGGCCTCAAACGTGTGTCTACAGGCTCTCTCCCCCCTTCCCTTCCCTTTCCTTGCTATTTTTTTCCCCAGACAGAGAGCCTGTTCACAGGCTATTCCTACTAGCGAATTTTAGACCTCAACCGAGCCTTGTTTCCCCACCTCTCTGTTCTTGCACGGCTTTCGTCGACTGAACGAACAGGCCTCTCCGCAGAAGCGACCGGCTGTTTTGCAAGGACATCCAGTCCTTTTTCTTCCTGCTTTCGCAGAGCAAGTGCTTGTACACTGGCAAGAGTTAGGGACGTTGTCCTGCGCAAACGGGAAGGAAATAATGTTGACTAGATTTCGCGCAATCGAGTGGAATAAACTGCGGTATTCAGAAGTCCGGGAAGAGTAGAGCGCGAGTCGCTGAGTACAAAAGCGGCAAGAAAGTTGTGGCTAAATTAATACACGGATACATACCGCAAAAGAGCTACTTTGTTCCGAAGAAAGGCTCATTTCTGTAAAAGGTTCTAACGAAAATAAAGAATCTCGATGAAGGTTTCGCAGCGCGAATCGGCTTTTCACATGGGTTCATATAAACATGGCCTTGTTTACATCATTTGCATCTGTCAAATGCAAGCATTCGCAGTAGCCGTGACACAGCTCCTTTAATAGGCTATGTTTTATGCACTCTTGATTGGCATTGATCTACTGCCAGATGTTGTTTTCTAAAATAATTACACTCGCACGGCTTACTTGGGTTCCCTGGATATTTCTGGTTGGCATGTCGTTTGTTTATATATAAGTTAGAGATGTCATTATAAGTTTTTGTCATCGATTTAACTTTTTCTTCAAATATCCTGATGATGTTACTTTAACGAGACATCATACATTTGCTTGCAGCCATTCGCGAACCACTGTTTTGATCAGTGATGTGGGAGCTGCTCGTAAGGTGTTTCCTCATTGGTCAAAGAAAACAATAAAACATTATTGTTTATGATTATTTCCCATTGTTTCACGGTCAGTGTATCGAACCAATTGGCTTTTAGGGATAGGAAAGCTGCTACAGGACCCTTTTTGATAGGTGCCTTGTAAACTTAGTGATATTAGGTTCCCCTCATAAGGTGGACCATTTGTAACAAGGAAGAAAGGATGGAAGGAGTCATGGATGAGAGGACAACAGACATGCCCTCTTTATAATGAATGGATGTCAAAATTATCCCCCTGTGGACGGAGCCGATTATACGGAGCATCATCTATCAAATACGCCTTTGGAATTTTTTGACTTTCTTATTAAACCAAACTGCTAAGCAGAAGCAATTTTAAGTTAGTCGGCGGCCCATGTTGCAAGGGAAATTTAAATCTCAGTACACGTTGTCACTTTCTTCTAGTTTCCTACTCTTATTGTACCCTTCCTTATAGAAAGGAGAAACGCCACGTTACCATGGAAGCAAAATTTCTGAATCTCAACAATCTTTCTTGATACAGCCTGACGGTCATTTTCATTTTCGAACCACTGACAAAAAGCCGATGGGCTGCCGTTCTGTTCTTGATCATGAGTGCAATCATTCCCCCAAAATTCACACATATCATTTTTTTTCCTGCCGTATTTAAAGGACCAAGGTTTGTTGTGATCTAAAAGTTTTGCTACCATGGCAACGAGACGTAACAACGGTTCCTTTCGATTTCTAATAGCACATTGTATTTTTTGTTTGTTTTGTTTTGTTTTGTTTTGTTGGTTTCTTTTCCTTTGATGTACGATTTAGTTTGAAACTCAGGGAGGTTAACAGGTTGTGAAGGTTTTGCTGTAAACATGTCGTTACCCTGGGTTTTGCTTTTATTAACTAACCCTTTTCAAGTACGCACATGCGTACGTACGTGTTTTTAGATAGCTATATCCCTACAACTATCATTTATTTATTGACATTTAGGAATCATCAATATTAACAAGCCTTTATACAGATGATTTCCAACTTTAAGCTAAATTCAGACCATTTAATGAAATTATTTTACACGTCAACATTTTTTTTTCGATTTGCATAATTACCTACACTTGGCGAAGTTAGATTCTAAACCGTCACAAAAGACTGGACTATAGGGTGGAAAGATAGCCCTTTTCAGAAAAGGAAAGAACAAATTTCCAATAATTTGGCTCTGAACCTAATAAGAAAGGAATTTGCTTAATTGCCTAAAAATTGTTTGAAAACTGTCTTCAGTATTCAATTAGTTGGAATTAATTTTGTCAAATAGAAGCCTTTTTTGAAATTTACTTAGAGTATAGCAGTTTGTCAAAGAGGTGCAACACCACGTGTCTATCAATGCAATAAAAAGATCGAATTTCAGTCTGTTTTGACAGCAAGGAAGCTAACAAACGCATTCAGACCTAGACAACTGAAGCTTTCTTCAAACAAAGGTAAATTTTTGAACAAGACCGTGGCCGACTGCGCTGCGACTTACTCTAAAAACATGGAAGGCTATCCACTACTTCTCAGAAACTATGTCGTCGTAATGGGGATCTTTGCTACATTTCCAAGTATTTCCACAGGTGACACTCCAACCTGTGTTCGTGTAGTCTGTATTTTTAGTAGTCTGGGTCCCTTGGAACATATTTTCAGTACATTCCTAAAGCTTTCATTTTTTTTTTTACTTTTTCCTTACAGCTTTCAGTCAAGGATCGATTGGCAACTTTTTCTACGTCAACTTCATGATAAGTGAATTTTCCTACCTGAATATCACAAGTATTGGACGGAATCTTATTCAAAACGAAAACGATTGTGGCTACGCCTGTTTAGAAAATTCCTCATGTTTTTCCTACAATGTGGCTGCCTTCCCTGATGTCAACGGCAAACTTCTTTGCGAACTCCTGCCATCGGACAAGTTTAACAACTCGGACAAGTTCAACGCCAGTAAAGAGTTTCATCACTTTTATATTCCGGTAAGTCAAACATCTAATTAATGAAAAATGTTCCTTCTGGAGAAAATAAAAAGTTTCTTCTTGTTTTGTTTGTGTAATTATTTTCTTTTGACTCTCGCTAGTTTCGAAAGTTAGCATTTGTAAATCAAAATTTATCTCTTCGCTTGGAAAATCTTGAATGCAGTGGATTACGTTGTGCTTCAAATGCAAAGGAATAGGCTAATGAGTTTGGATAAAAAATAAATAAATAAAAAAACCTTATAAAAGTCTTACGACCAAGTTAAACCTTTCTGTTAAACCTTTAATTTGACCATCTGCTGATGCCCAAACATACTTGATGAAATCGATATATTTATGTTCGGATGTCCTAAACGTTAGTGAGGGGGGAGTTGCAGACAAAGGTCTCGACTGAAATATTTTTCGACAAAAGCGTTCAGCTCTTAAAACACATTTGTCATATCATGAATTTGCTTATTATTTGTTTGCATACTTGGATTACCTTAAAAGTTACAGAAACGTTTTAATATTCCTATTTTAGGCTAATCTTTCGCCGGTTAGACTATATCAGCACAACGCCTTGAAATTCGGTAGCATCTGTGCAAATTTCTGGGTAAATGAAACAGCGTTACTCTCAAAACCTCACTAAATACTCAAGTGAGCAAACCCACGGGGGAGTGCAAAAGATAAAAATGTTTATTGCGTCCTTAATTATATCGATGTCATCTAAGCATCGACATGTATGTCAAATTCGTTGCTTTTTGAATCCATGAAACAAAGCGAAAGGGAAACAAAGAAAATTTAATCCCAACTTTTGTATGTTTACAGTAAGCTGAATTTAATCTAGGGTTCGGCTCGTTGAAGTAATTAACCTCATATAGTGAAGACAATGAATGTCTTTAGTTTTCGTGCTGAAAGTTAACTGAGGCCCCGAAACTTTCTCACTTTCTAGTGCTTTTCTTGTTCTGTTTGGACATTACTATGGCAACACAAAGTACCTGACCTGTTAACCTATGGGAACATTCAACTGAGGAAATTCGTATCCATTAAACGTTCCTGACAATAAATGAATTTAAACGAGTAAACTGCCTTGTCGCAACAGTATTTATTGTTTCGAGTTCTTCGTTCTTTTTCACACACGCCAACCACTTTGATGCTAGTGTTTGCCTGATTCAATAGGATATTGCCATAGCAACGCACATTCAAAGATAGGCCTGCCACCTGTAACTGATGAACCGTTCGTGTTTTGTTATTAAAAAAAACAGCTTTTGTTATTGCGTCACAAGAAATACATGTTACTGGCGGTAGAAGTTCTACACTATGAAAAAGCAAGCATCAAGTTTTCTAGAAAACGGAGACAATAATTAAGGGACTTATCAAAGTCTGCTTTACATTTGTTAGAGCTGCGCAAAATTCCCCTTACTTGATCTTATTTTAATATTTTCAATATATATTTATTTTTTATCTTTTCTTTCATCGTCCTTATTTCGAGAAACACCTCGATTTTTGTAACCTGTTATATAGGCTCCGAGATAGTAGTGCAGCGGGAGAAGGGACAGAGAGGACCATATTTTTTTTTCCGCCGCTATCCCCTTTCCTAGATCGCGTGCGTCTTATTTTAAATAGGTTTCCTTCTTTTATCTTACCGATGTCCCTACTTTGAGATCCTACGCAGTATACCCGTAAGTTCAACATGGATGATTGAAAACAAGCCTAAAATTTCGAATTTATTAGGTTTGCACAAAATCTAGTTATTAGCAGATTTGTTGATGAGTTAGTACACAACTTACAATTTGTTACCCCACTTTTTTAAAACAACAAACCAAATTTTAACAGTATTTAATTTTTTAACAAAATAAGACAAAAAGTAAGCATGTTCAACAGTTAAGAGGCAGTCTCCCTAAAAGCGTTCCACTCGATTTTGGACTCGCTAAAACGTTTGCCTCATATTTTTATCATCAACACTGCTATCCATCCTAATAACGAAACTGCAGTTACAATGAGGAAATTGTTTATTTTACTGCCATTCCCAGCATTTCATTGCTGGACGACCGTTAGCGGCTAAAATATGCAAATTTTAGATGCCCTTTTACAGGTTTTTTAACGATCGTTTAAAAGTACTTCGGGTCATCAAATCCTAGACTATTGCACTCGTTTGGAAGCATATTACTTCTTCTTACTGTTCCAATACCATTTAGGCATTATCTTTCTGTAATCAGCAAAAACTGGTCGTCTTTATTTCACTAACCCAATTAGGAAAGCAAGATGCACGAATAAATGCCTCAAAAACATCTCAAAATTCTCAAAAGTGGCACCTAAACTAGAACTAAAAACATGTTTTAGTTAAAGATTAATAGCTATTTTGTCAAGTCATGCAATAAAACTTGTGGCACAACGCGATTCACAATGTGGACTGGAGTTCAAAGAAGTAAAATCAACAATCCGCTAATTACGTCTACGCCATAATAAGTCTCGTACTTATAAATTCTTATCAAGTAAATTGTTTTTTGCCCTTAAAAAAATGAAATCAGCTGTGAAATGTACATTGAATTAAGTTAGTGTCCGGACACCTTTAGGAATTTGATATTAGTATAAATTCTAAGATGTATAAATCTACCGGCCTTCGATCACAAATCTGATTGTCTATATACAGTGCTAGTGCTATGCTGGTAATGCTGTACTCTATCAATTTCGTGATGGACAGTGAGTGAAGTGACTGAGTAGCCTGGGGTAGCCTGACAGTGTTCGGTTGTAACCTGTTTATACCACCACCGAATAAAACCGTTAGCCTTTCAAGTTGTTACGCTTTGAACGACTAGGGGGTTTATATTTGACTGTTTTAGGGAAATTTGTACCAGATCTTTGTTTACTCGCATGCAATCTCGCTCGTTTTTTTGTTTTTGTATTTTTTCATAAGATTTGTGAAGTATTTGCGGTCTTTATATTCTTTGTCATAGCATCTCGGTATGCAGACATATAAAAGCAATAAGATCCTCTCTGAGTGGCTCAACAACATTGTCCGCGTAGGCTGGTGCATCAAATGAGTGCCGCACTGGAGTCGCAAAACGAAATGATAAACGCGGTGGCGCTTAATTTAGTAAAATCGATATCAATATGAATTTGGATCCACACGGAGGGTCCAAAGGCCGATTTTTAAAAATGTGATCCTAGATCCTTCAGCTGTTGTTCAGATGTATGTATTTTTACATCATTAACGTGGGAGAATGCAAGCGTCTGTAAGAACAGGGTAATAACCGCTAACAAGACGTGAGACGAGAAAAGACGTAAAAACAGTGTAGGGGTCTCGACCGGGAGAAATGTTCATGCTGGGGAAACCTTCGACAATGCCGGATTCAGACTTCACGTCAGTTCTCACCTCTACTGATTGTTCGAATTCAAAGGTTTTTGTCCACGTTGGGCTTCAATAGAAAATCCTGTCGGTGAAGTCCATGGTACCAAACAATTGTCATGAGTACTCTCAGTAATATGCCTAAAGGTAGGTAATCACGATTTTGGCAATTTAACTCCGACTCCAAATTAGGTTTAGATATGCGCTTATCACTTTCTGTTTCACGCGTGTATCTCGTGATATTCAAATCCGTCAGCTCATAAATAAATGATACCAAATGTGCAAGTGCATCAGCTGACTGTGTAACTTTATGCCATACTGCAACACTGATTAATATCAGGATATTTGACTTAAAGCCACTTCCTACTTTTCTCCATATATAGCTTCATTATGTTTGGATCTTCACTTCCCGCATAATTCTAAATAAAACAATTGAGCGGACTACTGAGTTTATCATTGTCTGAACTTGAAATTACCATTATGACAATACCCATTGGCCCTTTTGTCGTTATCTTATCACAGATAAAGGAACTAGTGATAAGGATATTAGCAATGATTTTATGATTTTATACGTACGTGATCCTATCCTTTAAAATAGATGGTATACGATCTTAGCAATCTCCACACCAATTACATGCCTGTCCTTGGTCCTAATGTTCCTTTCCTTGTCCTCTATACGAGGTGTCCGCCAAAAACGTCCGAGTTTATATGCCGATATTTGTGGGTAATCCCCGGGAGGACTTCCATATAAAAGTGAAGGGCTGCTCGTCGGAAAATTAATAATTTATTATTTAAACCCCTAAGGGAGGCCAAGGTGGGTGTGGCTCAAGCTTAAACTGACCCCTAAAGGAGATTTCTGTGAGGTCAGCGTCACCGCGTTTTTTTTGGCAAATTTCTTTATGCACAGCCTTAAGTGATACCTGAATGAGCATATTTAGGTACTTTCCGTCCCAAACAACCGAAGTGAGACCAAAATCTGCAAACGACGAGCACCCACGTCACTTTTGTATGGGAGTCCTCCTGGGGAAGCAGATCACCATCTGTTCCACTTGATTTTTCGTAAGGTCAATGATTACCATCTTTTGAGAGTATTGGGTCGGCTTCACTTAGTTCAGACTTCGATGGATGACACATTTCATGGTAAGAAGTAATGGTGTCCTGACAATCGTGTACTTTTATCAGTTGGAAAAAACGCGTGAACTTCCACACTTTATTTTCTTGTTAATTTCACTGATGTTGCACGATTCGAAATTAACGTTGAAACTTTATTATTTGCGTGTGCCAACTTCTTTATTAACTGGCTGCGATACAAAAGTAGCCTTAGACTCCAGACTGTCTCCTGGAGCGTGAAAACAAACGCTGACCACTGTTAATAGGACAATACAGTCAGGAAATGGAAGAAACCTACTAATTGAAATTTCATTAACAAAGTCTTCAAATATGGGCTCGCCGTTCACAGTCCAGTACTATCGCCCCATGTTAGCGAATACAAGACAGTCGTGGATTCTGGATCCCATTCCATGGATTCAGGATTCCGGGTGCTGGATTCCAGTCTTTTCCTGTGGAATTTCATTCCTTAGTAGGGTGCTTCAGCTCTATTCTGGATTCCAAAGCCCTGGATTCCGGATTTCATATCAAAATTTTCCCGGATTCCGGATCCTACAAGCAAAAATTTTCCAGTTTCCGGAATCCCGATACCCTTACGTGGGGCGAAGTACAAGTCAAGCATTTTCTGACCTGTTCACGCATATTTAATTAAGCAGTGGGAAATTTACTTTTCTTCTAACGTTCGATTTTATAATATGATGGATCGGAGTAACGTCTGGTCAATGCAGCTCTTTCAGACTGGACCACATTTTAAGCTAGAAGAGGTTTGGTTCTGAAAAGGTATTTTTCCGTCTTGACACAACAGACTTAACACGAATGTTCGGGGCAGTGGGAATATTAAATGAAGCTTGGAAAGGTATCTTTTACTTGCTGAACTAATTTTTGAACAATATGTATCATTGGCAAAGAGAAAAAGGGAATTTTAATATAGTTTTGGTGGGAAAATGAGGCATATCTTACTTAAAAGTGGCAAGTATTTGAATAACTGAGGATTTTGTTGTGACAGCAGCCGGTATCGTCACGCAACGCAAATTGAACATTTGCCTAAATTTGAGTTGAAACCTTCAATTCTGAATCGCGTTGTGCCACAAGTTTTACTGCATAACTTGACAAAATAGCTATTAATCTTTAACTAAAACATGTTTTTAGGTCTAGTTTAGGTGCCACTTTTGAGAATTTTGAGATGTTTTTTAGGCATTTTCTCGTGCAGTTTGCTTTCTTAATTGGATTAGCGAAATAAAGACGACCAGTTTTTGCTGATTACAGAAAGATAACGGCTAAACGATATTCGAACAGTAAGAAGAAGTAATAAGCTTCCAAATGAGTGCAATAGTCTAGGATTTGATGACCCGAAGAACTTTAGAACGATCGTTAAAAAACCTGTATAACAGAGACTAAAGTTTGCATATTTTAGCCGCTAACGGTCGTCCAGCAATGAAATGGTGGGAATGGCAGTAAAATAAACAATTTCCTCATTCTAACTGCAATTTCGTTATCAGGATGGATAGTAGTGTTGATGGTAAAATTATGAGGCAAAAGTTTTTTCGAGTCCAAAATCGAGTGGAACGCTTTTAGGGAGACTGCTTCTTAAGCATTCGTTGAAAGCACGCTACATGTATATATCAAAGGCGACAAAAGCAGATAATTTTCGAACCAGTCTTTGTTCACTTATTGGCTGCATATCTCCTCCTGATAAAAATGTTAACATTCGCATAAAAATGATAAAGTACTTCTAAAGAAACTGTGTTCAGCCTCCTTAAAGGCCAACTGAAAGTCAGGAGGAAAGAATTGTGCCAGAAAAAAACGTTTTAATTCTTAGAATGCAAGAAAATGCAATTTAATTGGAGGAAGAAATTTACAAAGTATAAGGAATATAAGATGGAGTTTCATTAGAATTCATAGAAAAACGCAGAAAAAATGCGTTTAAAAGATATCCTGACCAGCTACGACAGAGGCCAAGCAGTGGCTCTTTATGCCATCGTCAGGCCACTCGCCGATATATCTCTGCAGCCTGTTCATCCTACATCCTGGGCTGCGTCAAAAGAATGCATTGACCAGAAGCAACTAGCTGAGAATACAACAGGCTGTGAACCCACTCACTGGGGCAATTAATGCAGGCATTAGATATAGCTTCTGTTCTAGTTCAGCAAAACCAGCCGGCGGCTCGCTGAAATAATTTGATGACCAAGCGAGTTAAATTCATTTAATTACACAAGCTTATTGCATGCTAACCGAAGGGAATTTTAGTTTGTAACTGCGCTAAAAATGAAATTCAAATTTCAAATCATCTGCGATTATTTTAGGTGCCGAGAAAGGAGAATCCTGATGAATTTTTGAACGTGTTCGCCGCTAAGATGTTTTATTTATTTATTTATTTATTTATTTATTTATTTTTTCATTCAGTCATTCCGTTCGCTTAGACACAGATATGTTCTGTTCCTAAAGACAACTAAGCAGACCCATCTTACCCTTTTACAAAAAAAACCTCTTTGTTAAAATGTATTTTCAAAAACTGAATCATTGGATAACATAACTCTAGCGCTCTTTAATATTGGCTTAGCCATCATGATATATGAGACATGATACCATGCTCTCCAAATATGGTAACTGTAAGAGTCTGCTCAGAATTAAAAACTAGCTGAACATCATTTGTTTTTAAAAATAAAGTCAGGAAGAATTCTTGATATTGGGCTTTTGTAATAAAGAATTATTCCACTCGCGTTTGTTGAATATGAGATGATTATAGCCAACTCGGCGCTGCCTGCCTCGTTGGCTCTTGCTGGGGAATATAAGAAACAAATCCTAAAAAGGAAGGAGGAAGATTCAAATAAACTTGTATTTTATATCTTTGAGGCCACAATAAAAATAAGTGTTAAAGTTTTTTAATCTCTTCTAATAATGATATAAAAATGCCTCATTTTATTTTACTTTACTTTGTTAAGTTTTCTGAGACTAGGAAACTTTATCCCCAACCTTTCTGTTCAGTTATTTTTGAGGTTGCTGGCTCATGAATTTTGTGTGTTTGTGTGCTCAAAGTATTTGGACATACAATGAAGCGGCTATCGAGTTGGCGGCGGCTGTTTTTATTAAACGATTACAACAGCATGCATGCCATAAGTTTCGTGACGAAAATAAACTTCTGGCGAAGAAAACGTTATTCATAGTTCCTACAATCTTGAAAAGGTCTTGAATTTTACTAGTCGTCTTGAAAAGTCCTTGAATTCGGTCTAGGTCCTTGAAATCATGTAATTTAGTAGTCATATCAATTGAATTTGTAAGAAATCTACTCTCGCCATAAGATCAATGGGACGCATTCGGAAATATCTCTCGCTAGACGGACTTAAAATGTTAGTTAATGTCCTTGTCATCTCGCGATTGGACTTTTGCAATTGTCTTTTGTATGGTATTCCTAAATATCAAAGGGATAAGCTCCAACGAATCCAGAATACTGCGGCGCGTCTTGTGATGGGCGTAAAACTTTCAGGTCATGCATCGCCTATACTAAAGAACTTGCATTGGCTTCCAGTTGAAAAGAAGATTGAATTTAAGATTCTCCTCATAACGTATAAGACTATACATGGCCACTCTGCGGACTACCTGAAGCCTTTAATTGAAATGCATCAACCGTCACGAACTTTAAGATCAGCGTCACGTTCACTACTCTGTCCTCAAAAAAATTACGGGTGTAGAGCTTTTTCTTTTGCGGCACTGAAATTGTGGAACTCCCTGCCGGAGGACATTAAGAATGCCAAGACTGGAATCTGTTTTAAAAACAAGTTGAAAACTCATCTTTTTAGGAAGGCTTTTTTTTTTTAGTAAGCATTATGGTGAACTTATTTAGATAGGGATTTTCATTTTATTTTCTGTTTGTAAATCATTTTAAATCATTTTAAGGCGCATCGAGCTTTGTAAATGCGCCATGTAAGAATGTATTTATTATTATTATTATTATGTCGCAGTATAAAACTTTGGAATGTTGTCCACATTATGAGTAGTATAGGGCGCATAATGCAACCTACACCACTTGAGAAGCTATACTATACGTTAAGCTATACGGTACGAAACCTAATACGATCCTAATGTAAATAATAATATGAATGTCCCTACTTAAAAAGCCAATTTAGAATATTATTAAATTCTTATACTCTGTAAAACCTACGCAAAGACATGATGATATAATTATCTCTACTAGAAGCCTAATTAGAAAATTATTCAGTTTTTATACTCTCATTTTCTCTTATATACCTACACGAGGCCATCTTAATGTGGTTATCTCTACTAAAAGCTTATTTAGAATAATATCAAACTCTAGTACTCTAAAAAATCTAAGTAAAAACGTCAGCAAACTTGTGTTTTAATATCATTATTATCATTATTATTATTATTATTGTTATTATTATTATTATTATTATTATTATTATTATTATTATTATTATTATTTAAGTGTTGGATTTCTTTATTAGGTCTTGGAAAGTCCTTGATATTCACAACCTTGTCTACACCAGACACCATTTTCTCTAAAAATATATTATTTTGCCTAAAATATTTGACTCATCCTCGGTGTAAGAACCTGTGAAACTCACGAATAACGTAACACATTTTTGTGTATGAACAATATTTTATTTCTGTCTCTTTATTTCAAATGCTATTTGAGAACCTAAGATGCAATTGCAAGTCATACCTAGTCATTTTGCAAAGTCTTATTGCGGAAAGTAGACGTATAAAATAATGTGATCAACAATGGCCGAAGAAGCGGTAAAAATCACAAAAAACTCCTTGACGTGTTTTAGCAACTGTACGGTGATGAAAGTGGGTTAAAGAATGCCGATTTATTTAATAAATCTTAGTCTTTGAAAATTATAATTTGTTCTTGAAAAATCCTTGAAAAGTCCTTGAAATGTTTTTGTCTGAAGTTGTATGAACCATGGTTATAGAATTCGGCTAGATTCCTGCTTGGCCTTCTTGTATATATCTTGATTCACGGCAACGCTAAACGCGACCGGTTGCTCTTCCAGCAGCTTGTTCTCATCGGACGTAGGAGAGGCAACAGGACTAGTTAGATTCTGTGAATGCCATGTTTTTGAACTGTTTGTGTTCGAGCATATTTTTGGAAACTTAATATCAGAGTTTACTTTCCCTTTTTAATGACGGACTGCTTACAACGGAGTAGTGTACCAATGATACTTGGTTCTGTTTTTCTCCACGTCGCATTGATTCGGCACGATCGAACAATTTTGCGCGATCAATGTGGGTTTCCCTATTTAAAAAAATGTCAAAACAAAGACATCAACAACAGCGTCTCTTTTGTTCTGTCAGCATCTAAATTATAAAATCAGTAAAGAAAGACAAGTCTAACTATTAAAGATTTGAAACAGTCCTGGCCCCTGTTGTACAAACGTTGGACAGCGCTATTCACCTGATAAATCGTTATCCAGAGGATAAGCATGACGAAAACCAATTGCGCTATCCGTTGGATAGTGGTTTATCCAGTGGATAGTGCTATCCACCTTTTGAACAAATAGGGCTTCGTCTTTATTAGTCTTTGGTCTAGAGTCTTTTGTAGGTCGTTAATAAAATAAAACTTTGATCTATTTTGTTGAATACGACAATGTTGTTGTTGAGTTTTTGTTTGCGCTCTACTTTTATGAATGGCATGCGTTCGAAGAAATTGAGAGAACTTGATCTAGTATAACCAGAGAGGAAACATTCTTTAAATTCTATCAAAATATCCCTTATACAAACCCAATCGCTTGTAAACGTCTCTGTAATTTTCAGAGGAAGTGACAGAGAAAGTCAAGCGTTTTAAACAATAGAATTTTGACGGTTGAAAGTAATTTGCATAACTTCAGCGCGCATGCTCTCCAGCTGACATAGCCCCTTTAAGTTGGGGGATGAAGAACGTCGTGTTCCAAAAGTCCGAAATTCTTTTGATTCTGACTATTAGAATAACTACGATCACACACCTTGCTAAGCCTGAATCCATAATAAATATCGTGAAAAACTTTACCAACAAAAATTTATCCGGCTAATCTTAAGATTACATTATATTTTAATTATACTTAATACTTATACTGTATATCTGACTTGCTTCTCTTTGTGTAGTCTCCATGTGACAGCTCGCCCTGTAAGAACACTGGCAAATGCATTCCCTTGTACCAGAAAAATGGATATAAGTGTACCTGCGTGAAAGGATTCACGGGACGAAACTGCGAAACGAGTAAGCGATACTTGGCTGAAACAAGTATCAAATTATGCTAACTTTTGTTTTCTCTAAACTGTCTCTCTCTTGAAAGTTAAATCACAGGGGGCACATTATTAGAGAACTTTGCCAGTGGAGAAACCCTGAGTACTACTACATGTTGCGGCGTATTTCAATTTTTGCTGAAGTCGTATGTACTGCTAGAAATTGCGGAACATTCTGTAAAATACCTTTGCTTTGACTCTCTCCTACAGATATAAATGACTGTGTCAATATCACTTGTTTGAACAACGGAACTTGCATCGACCTAATTGATGGCTTCAACTGCAGTTGCCCTCCAGGATATGCTGGGAATCGATGCGAAATTGGTTAGATTCTTTTTGTTATTATTTGCATTGAATTTTTCGCCCATACGCAACATGTTATACCGTCTATACCGTGTAGCATGAAATTTTTGAGGGACTTTTATTTTGAGGATTGGCGATGTTTTGAGGTTTGCAGGAACAAATTTTTACGGCTCCAATTGACTGAAATTTCCGCAGGGATGAAACTAATTTTTGCCGGCGGTTTTCTTTTCGAGCAGCAAAACATCAACAAGAGATCGAGGATCGTAATATTTTCAACTTTTATTACTTTTTTTTAAGGTAAAACGGCAGTCTATACTTCTCAGACATTTCAGTCAACGACAAGCTGGTCGGTTACAACAAAACATTTCCAGTTAAGCTGTAAAAGCCCGACTTAAAATACAAATTAAAATACAACGAATCTAAACTCAGTCAATCAACACCTGTTGCGCAAGCAACAGCAGAAGCGTATCTAGAGCTACCGGTAGAGCATCGTTGTTCTTCAGTGTACCTCTTGTGCCTTAGACACTGGAAAAGTATTGACTTAAACTTTTATCGTTTTATCGTTTCGTTTTATTTGTATAGCAGGTAAGGTCCGATTGCTTTTTCTCATCAGGGCAAATATTAAACGAAACGTTCTTGTTTTATCCTGATGTATGGTACTAGCAGCACTGATGGATTAAAAGCTATTTTTAAATAGCGGTTTTTAATTTTGCTGGTTTTTTTTTTTTGTTATCTGCCGGAACTTATTTTTGCGGATCAACGACCATCCGCAAAATCCACAAGAATTAAGCACCGTATAATTAAAGTGCTACACGGTACATCAAGTTATGTAAGTACCTAATATAGGTGAAGGTGTTGAATGCTGTTGGGTGATAATATACACGATCAATTTAAATCCTACACGAAGCCTTTACACCCAGCCGACAATGCGAGTTCAGCTGTCCCTCCTCATTCTTCCCCGCTAGAGGCGTTTCGTGGGAGAGATGTTTGCAATTCAGCCAGCAAATTTATTGATTACGTACATCTTTCTGAAATCTGGTGATTGGTCGACTTTGTAATCTCATTCTTTTAGCTTTTGCATCGTGCGCGTTCGACGTTAGGAGAACTCAACCTCTAATATTTTGGATTCCTGTAGAGCTTGCTTCTCCTCCCATAGTCAGGTACATGTGTTGCCTTTTCAACATTTTTTTTGCCGTACGTCTGCATTTTTGGCGCCGGAATTTAGTCATAGGTACATTCCCATTACCCTTGTTCGATCAAGAAAAAACAGATGGTGCAACTCGTCATTTTTCGAAAGCACGGAGTTATTTGATTTAGGCGAGAGAATTAATTTCGAGTTGTTTTTGAGGCGGGTTCTATCCCTGAGATGGCGATTCTGGCCTACCCTTCTCGGACGATACTTCATTGTTAGTAAGAGATGTTATACCGGTCAGATTGAGCTGAAACATCGTACCAAGACACAAATAAACACCAGGGCCCAGCTGTTCGAAGAGCACTATTATCGCTTGAACCCGGTGTTAAATTTTAATCTGGATTTCTCTTTCTTTTGCACGAAAGCATTTTCTCGGGTAATTTTCGCTATTCTTCAATTTAGAAACATTCCATCACCTCATTGTAGACAAAAATAATTAAACTGAATTTGTTTTTTTACGCTTTCATAGCTGAATTCAAATTTTGCACTAACTCTGGGTTATCTCAACCCACAATCTTGGAGAAAAATGTTGGGACAAATGGACATTACCATGTCTAGATTCAAGATAAAGCTTTTGAAAGCGCTGACAACTACAAATACTCTCCCTTGTCCACCCAAAACAACAACGTTGAAGCCGGGGTGGATCATTTCTAAACCCGACTAAACAACTTTGACCAGGGTGGGGCAAGGGGAGGGGCCATATAGGGATAAGCGTTCTGGAGGGTAAGAGAGTGCAAAATAGACAACACTTTTTGTCCAAGATTGCATCTTTGAACAACCTGGCTCAGTACAGGTAACAATTTTCATGCTCTTTATGCTCTGTTGAGGACTTTACCTGTGCGTTTGCTTCTATATATTTTTTCCCACTGCGCAAAACACATTCCGGGATAAAGTACGTTGCGTTTACAGAATTTTACCCGTGTATTCCTAAGTAGTGCTTATTTCGACGTCTGATATATCTGTGCGGAATTTTTGGAGCTGAATAACGATGAACAGTTCGCACAATGGCAAAAGATTTTGTACCCTAAGCGATGTTTGTTTCGCTGACATCTGTGATCTCACAGAGACACAAAGATCAAATGTAAACGGGATGAATCCACTAAAAACATTCATTATTGGTGGAGTACATCTTTGTTACATCTTCGTTACATCTTTGTTTACAAGAAGACATTTGAGTTTTGCTGTCACACGCACGCAGAAGAACTGGAAACTTGACGATAATAAACGAACCCCATGACTACCAGTGACACTGATTATGTAAACATCGATTTACGTCTTAGCTGCACCAAGGGCCCAAAAAATATTAAATTAAAAAACTGAATAGAAAAAAATAAAGGAATAGGGAGGAGGTAGAAAGGAACCTTTTCTCCCCTTCCCCTCTCCCTACTTCCATTTTCTTTGCTCTCGCTTCCACTTTCGAGCGCGGAAACGCTTGCTGCACAGCCTAGCCGAATCGGTGACGTTTCTCCCGCAAAAAGGTCCCTAGCTTTGGGGAGCAAAGAGTTACGGCTGTATTCGCCGATCTGAGAGTGTCTGTCGTCCGTTTTGTAATATGTCGCTGCCTGGCAGCGTCACCTGCATTCATTCGTCTGAATTATAGTCTTGTAAATCTAAACAAGGTTAATTCCGGCAAAATTATGTTCTTCGTATTCATTTTTAGTTAGCTTGATGGACGGCCTCTTGGCCTGTGCATATTCTCGAGTTTAAGATGTTTCGATATAGGTTTTCAGAGGCCATACCGATATTTCTCAATCACTTTAAAAGTGATTTTATCCTTGTCCGATCGCTGTAAAATTTTCACCAGTAATTGGCTGTGGATTGAAATTTGTGAAAATGTAGTTTTAAGTAAAATCGATAATATATACTATTAATTTGGACTTTTATTAGAGCTTTTTTGTATATCTCTGAAACGACTCGAACGAATTTTTTATTTATTTTTTTTCCCATAATCTTCATAATGTATATAATAACGTCTGAAACTTTAATTAAGATTGATTCACTGCAACATCTTGAAATTTCAAGACAAACCTATCCTACGATCCTGTCAAAAATCCGCGCTACAACATTCAGTGTTTTGACGTTATGCTAATTCTTTCAAATTAATGCATGCGGACAATACATATATTCCTGACTAGTACATTTCAGTGTGAGCATTGTCAATGTTTTAAGTTCAAAAGATAAGATAAATTCACACTAAACTGTACTATTCACGATGGTATGTATAGTGCGCATTATTTTGGAAAATTAGAATAACGTCAGAACAGTGAATGTTCTAACGCAGATTTTTGATAGGTTCGTAGGACAGGTTTGTCTTGAAATTTTAAGGCGTTGCAGTCGTGAATCAATCTTAATGAAAGTTTCAGACATTATTATATACACTATGAAGATTATGTGAAGAGATTTTAAACAAATTTGTTCGAGTCGTTTTAGAGATATACAAAAAATCGCTAATAAAAGTCCAAAATTTTGAATGACGTTGCACTTATACAGGTGGTGAGAAAACGGATTAGTTTTCAAGATCGCAAGAACGAAAATACTCCAAAATTTCCTAGCATCAAACTATGATATTAAGCAGCATTTTCAAGCTACTTAAGAATAATTTGAGTCATTTATAACGTTTTTATTGAATAATCTATAACGGCTATTGAAAATTTAAGGTTTGAAATATATTTTGAGTCGTTTTAGTCGAATTCAAACATACAGAATTTTTTACTCCTTACGGAGACTGTTTGCTGAACACCAAACTGTGAGTTCCTAGTTTTGGATTTTCAGTAGCTGGTCTAGTTCACACAAAATTCGGCTTGTATCATTTTCAAAGTTTTTTGTTTATCGTTATCGCAGTAACATCGATTTTACTGAAAACTAAATTTTCACAAATTTCAATCCATAGCCAATTACTGGTGAAAATTTTATAGCAATCGGACAAGGAAAAAAGTCATGATTTTTAAGGCGATTGAAAAATATCGGTATGACCGCTGAAAAACTGTATCGAAACACCTTAACCCTGAAAAATTGCGGCACGTCGTTGCTCTATGTTTCGCCACGAATAGCTGGATGATGTCTGCAAGAGATATAAACAAGTGAAACCAATTCCTATTTTCTCTTTCACCCAGATGTTATCTCGACTGTGGTAAAACAGTTTCTTTCCCCTGCGATTGGGAATAACAGCAACTGGGCTCTGTGTTGGCAGGCCTCCACTCATGGCTGGGCTGCCAGTACCTTCCACAGCAGATGTGATTGCAAAAATCACACAATTGCAATCATCAAAAAAGGCTCGTACGTGTTCGGAGGATACACTGATATTCCTTGGGGTAAGTGGGTTTTTATCCCGGGGGGATGGCTAGTGTATGAAAGAGTTGGAGATACTCTTTGGAAAATAAAAATTAAAGCTCTAGAGGACACCAATCTGCGGGGGGGGGGGTTAGGCTTTATTTGACCGCCAAAGAAGGCAACCAACTCCTAGAGCCAATGAAAGTCAGCCTACTTTTGAGCAAAGGCTCACCTTCTCTACTGCTGAAATACTCTCAAGAAGAGGACCTTATGTCGCATCACCCAAACAAATGTGAATATATTAATCATCATGTAGCGCGGTACGTTGAAACTTGATACTTTAACCAGGGGGTTGAACTTAAAACGAACCCGTTTACAAGACACTCGTTTCAGTATTTTTGCAGCATATAGCTTATATACAAACGTAGCAATCACTATAACATCTATCATTATTTTTATTCCTTGATGAAGATATGGTGGCTTTCTTCGCACCATTTGGCCTACATTTCTTCGATATAAGAGGCTACCATCTATTTTAAGTTTCTTTAATTGCTTGTACGCGTCTGATGAATTCATCATTTCCGAATAAATTTTACGCACATACCCTTGCAGATCAGATTGTTTACAAAAGGTCTGAATTTGAGTGTTCTTCGGCTGTGTCCTGATCTGTTTAACTCAACAAGAAAGAATCGATCAAAGTGATGAGATAAATGAACTCATCACCAAGTGTACTTTTGACTTTCCAAAAATGTAGGGCTTTGTCCTAATAACTGGATTCATCTACAAGGTTCATGCTACAAAGTCTCGTCGGGGAAAACGCACTGGACCGCTGCAAAATCTGCCTGTGAAGCTATGGGGTCTAAGCTCGCTATGGTGACATCAAAAGCCGAACAACAAGCACTTGCTTCGAACATATCACAAAGAGTATGGATTGGTTTGTACAGGGATCCCAAAGACGATTCACGTTGGTTGTGGGTTGATGGATCAAGAGCGACATATACTAACTGGAATCCTGGAGAACCCAACGACCAGGGAAGAAATGAGGATTGCACAACGATGCTTCCTCCTAATGGAAAATGGAATGATTTAGCATGTTTCAACAGTCTTAAATACCTCTGTGAAACCAGTGGTAGGTGATACGTCAATTACGTGCATAATACTTTGAACTTATCATAGTGCACGCAGTGCATGACTCTAGGAAGCGTGCAATATAAACGCATAATGAATTACTTCGCGAAAAATGGTTAAATTATTATTATTTTTTTAATATTAAAAGAGCCCTAGTAATCTAGCTCCCTGTAAAAGGGCTCCGATAGAATCAAAACAGAAAAATTAAAGGAATAGAGTGGTAAGTTTTAAGATGCGTGGCACAAAAAATAAGGCCTCTATCGTTTTGCTTGACTTTACTAAATTGACAATCGGCAAGAGAGGATAAAGGATAGTGTCAACTATCGCCCAAAGGAGAGGTATTTATTAAGGACTATAATGCACCAAATCTGAGAGTGGGGGTGGGGAGGGTGGTGTTTGTTTTGGCTACCGAATTTGCTTCTATTTCTATGATCTAATGAGAATTTCTAAAGGATCATTGGAAAGGGGATACCAAAAGGAAATCGTGAGAAAGTATACTCGGCTTTGTTTGAAACTTATTACACCACGGCTTACCAAAAAGAAAAAAAAGCATAAATACAGTTGAACCCCAACTGAAACTTTCATAGCTATGAGCACTAGAGAGCATAAAAAGCTGCTCAAAACTGGGAAAAAATTGCAAATTTGCCATTTAAAAAGTGTTTCAGGGTATGAAGAGATTTTGCTCTCAAGTAGTTTAAGGACTGGGACTAAGGGGTTTACCTGTGGAAAATTATTTATTGGCTAAAACGTCGGCACAGAGATCATGGCATCGTCCTTAACATTTTATAAGAAAAATATTGTGTTAATAAGTCACGTGACATATTACGTGACCATTTTGCTAAAAATCTTAAATTATTGACCAATTAGTGGCGGTTTAAGAAAAAAAATCGAGCGATAACATTTTTCTAATTCTTATTAAATATTTCTAACACTTCAGGTTTCGAATGACCATCCATTGCACTTCAATAAAAAAAAATTATAAGGGAGAACATCATTTAAAATGCCCTAATTAGATCTTGAATTATTTAAAACTTTAATTCTTAACTTTGCGTGCATTCATTCCAAACGTAAAAAGTTAGGTATGTTTATCTTCTTTCAGAAATGCCAATTTGTTTGTCCAAACAAAGTAAATTCGCCACCATTCAGTTTTTGGTCACCTGACATGTCACGTGGCCATGATTAAACTTTAAGGCACAAGAAAACCTCAAGATTTACTTTTGGCCAAAAATTCATTTTTTTCTAGATCTCCTAGCGAGAGATATTGCCAATCATTCATATGCTCCAAACACAACTTTGACCCAGGCCTTAAACGTCTTGAGTAATTTTTTTTTCTTTTAGATAAGAAGAAATATGGCGGCTATTTCTAATTTAGCCATATGGTCTTTGCAAACCTTTATGGATTCTTCCACTTATTTTCATGATTTAAAGCCGTGCCAAAAAAAAAAAAAATAGAAAATCGGTAAACTGAAATATGTCCTAGCACAGTTTTAGCAACAAGTATCTACTTGCAGAATGCTATAACAAGAAACAAAAAATTTTGTCTATAAAACGACGGGAAAAAATGGCAAGGCAAGAGCCTCCTTGACTCCTAAACCCTACCTATAATGGCCTATGCATGACGGCTTCTCCCTAAAGAAGTACCTTTTCAGGGTTTAGGTATATGCAAGAGTAGAGGTTTCACTAGTTGAAGTATATGGAAGGGAAAGAAAATCTGCCATTGCGGTCTTGAAAGGACCTAAAAAGGTTAAAAGACTATGAAAAAGACAAGAACCGTTCTGGTTGAGAGATTTATTCATATTTAAAAGACGGTCCATTTACAGTAGCTTAAAAAGAGCAGGGGCACCCAACGAGAATATAGTTCAAAACCACTTAAACATAGAATTGTTAAACGTATTTTAGTATTTAAACGGTAGATATAGGCATATTTTTATTCCCTAAAAATTTTTCATCTGTTCGGATTTCCTAGCTGAAAGTCTAGTGATTCGAAAATTATAGGGATCAAAACTTACCTTTTCGAAAATTTCAGCCAGGAAAAAGGCTGCCGAAAATTCTAGGTGACCTTTTTAGGGTAAAAATCCGTTAAAAATAGGCAATTATACCATTTTTTAGATGTTCGAAAATCCTAGGAGAGGCAGGCTAGCAAGAAATTTTACAACAAATGTTCCGAAAATTGTAGATCTCAAATCGTCTTCCGAACAGATATTTTTCCGAAAATTGTCGTTGGGTGCCCCTGAAAGAGGTGCAGGGGTACTATTTGTCAATGGAAGGTCTACGATCCCTTTTCTGTCAAGGAATGGTATAAAGAGTATAATTTTTTTTAGTATCCCCGGGTCCAGAAGCTGCAAATTTAGGAAATACAGTAAAGCAGCAAGGATCTATGTGCAACTGGCTGAACGGGTTTTAACCATGACAATCGCAAATATGGTAAGGAAATCGTTAAGGCAAATGACAAAGGCAAATTCCGCAAATTTAGCAATTATAGCAAAGAAAAAGGACGATTTTCTAAAACTGGCAGTGCCTAAAAGGTTGACGTTATCAAAATTACAAATGACAGTGGAAATTATCCTCAAATTAAATGAACAACCTAAGCGGCTGAAAAAGAACCGGAAAAAAAAAACAACAAAGAAAAACAAATTTAGCAAAACAGACAAAAGTTAAGGCGCACGACAGAAGACATTAAAGGGAATAGAGGGGTTTCGTCAAGCTGCAAATTTGCTAATAATAATCATCATCATCTTTATTGAGGAAACTTTTTCATAAAAGATATGGTTTTCAAAAAGGACCTCAAAACTAGATATATATTATAAAAACAAAAAAAAGCTATAAAATTGCAAAGGGATTAAAAAGATACAAAAAATGCATAAAAAATTAAAAATAAGAATAAGTAAAAATTAAACGTAAGTAGCTATATTAAAAACTTAAAAACATTACGTTTAAAACTATTTACATTCCTTGAGTCTTTGATCGTCTGACTGAGGGAGTTAAAATCGGAAACGGCATGATATTGTGTTCTTTGCTTCCCCCAATTTCTTTTGACACGTGGTAATCTAAAATTGCCTTTGTTACGTGTATTATGCCTATGAAGTACGTCTTGTCTAATCAAGTCTATATCGCGATTAATTAGGCCATTGATGCATTTGTATACGTGTACACACCTTCTTTGAAATCGCCTTTTCTCTAGAGGCAGCCACTTGAGAACGGCTAATGCCTCAGTGGAGGATGAGTACAATGGTCTATTTAAAATAACTTTAGCGGCCTTATTTTGCAAAACTTGCAAACTAGACATAAGGGTAATATTATCAGGGGCACCCAACGACAATTTTCGGAAAATATGTGTTCGGAAGACGATTTGCGATCTAGAATTTTCGGAACATTTGTTGTAAAATTTCTTGCTTGCCTGCCTCTCCTAGGATTTTCGAACATCTAAAAAATGGTATAATTGCCCATTTCTAATGGATTTTTACTCTTAAAAGGTCACCTAGAATTTTCGTGAACCTTTGTTGTGGCTGAAATTTTCGAAAAGGTAAGTTTTGATCCCTATAATTTTCGGTTCACTAGACTTTCAGCTAGGAAATCCGAACAGATGAAAAATTTCTAGGGGATAAATACTAAAAAATACTAAAATACGTTTAACAATGCTATGTTTAAGTGGTTTTGAACTATCTTCTCGTTGGGTGCCCCTGTATTATGTTTATCGCCCCATACTAGATCAGCATATTCAAAAAGGGGGATAACAAGACTTTTATAGAAAAGTAGACGCGCCCTGAAAGGCAATAAATGCTTTATACCCTTGAGAAGCCCAAGCCTCTGATTGATTTTCCCAGTTAGGTGTTCAATGTGATCAGTCCATGTGAAATCCGAAGATATATGTATACCGAGGTATTTAAAGCTGCGAACATTACTTATACTATGATCTAAAATTGAAACAGTCAAATCTACTTTGCTTTCGCGTTTCCTATTACTACCGATAAGCATGCATTTAGTTTTGTCCAAATTTAAAGTCAGTTTGTGATCATGCAGCCATTTCGCCACACCCAGTAGATCGTTATTTAACTTATCAATCAACTCCTTTGAGGATGTACCATAGCAATAAATTACAGTGTCGTCTGCATCAAGTGACGCGTAGCAGGAGTGAAGCACATTTGGCAAGTTATTTATGTAAATCACAAACAACAGAGGCCCTAGAATGCTACCCTGTGGCACCCCATGCGTGACTGGAAGTTCCTCAGATAACTCATTTCCACATGATGTGCGCTGTTGTCTACCAGTTAAGTAAGAACGCAACCAATGAAGAGCTGTTTCAGAGAGGCCGATCTCGGATAGCTTGCATAACATTATTTGATGGTCTACCGTGTCAAATGCCTTGGTTAGATCGATGAACACGGTCCCGCAAAGTTTTCCTTGTTCCATGTTTAAGAGCACTTCATCAGCAAATGAGGTCAAAGCTGTTGTAGTTGAGAAACCCTTCCGGAAACCAAACTGCTTGTTGGACAATAAATTATTGGTAATCAAGTACTGATACAACTGCAAGTGTACCGCTCTTTCCAGAATCTTGCTTGCTAAGCGTATCAAAAGTACGAGGGATTTTTCCGGCAACTGCCAAGACGATCGTTAACCAAGAGCTAAGCGCCATGTAATGCATAAAACCTTCTTGGCCTTTTCTTTAGAATTTTGTTAAATTTATTATTGTTGCTATTCTTGCGATATTTATTACCCATTCGTTTCAGATAACAAGGAAACTTCTTGTTACTTTTGCGATTTTTGCGAAATTTGTAGACTTCTTGAGGCTCTTCTTTGTGTTTTGTCTTTCTAAGTCTAGAATTTTATTAAATTTGATATTCTTACCTTTCTTCCAATAATTGTTACCCAGTCTTTTTAGATAACAAGGACATTTCTTGTTACTATAGCGATTTTTGCGAAATTTGCTGACTTCTCGGGGCCCTTACTCCTAGTGGTTGCGTTTCCTCTTTCTGAGTCTATAATTTTGTTAAATTTGTTATTCTTGCTATTTTTTCGATATTTACAAGGAAATGTGTCACAAAATTTTCTTATGAATCATTTTTTTGGCTAAAATTGCGAAAAAAAAAAAAAAAAAGAAATGGCTAGCAAATTTTTGCCATCTCCAAAGTTAGCAAGGGAGAGGAAAGCCAATTTATGGCCAAGAGGTCTGGTGAAACAAGAGCAAATAGAACTCAAAGATTGAGATGAGATTAACTCTCACGGGATTAGCTTGCCTAGTCCCTGCACGGCGTCTTCCCAGGCCTTCTCGGTTAATGCATTTTGGTGACGTATCCGAGACCCAAAAACTCGCGCAGACCGCCTGATCCGAAACGCATCAGCGGCTCGCAATACAAAAAAAGCAAGGGAGAGGAAAACCAATTTATGGCCAAGAGGCGGGCTGCATCTACCATTTTGTTCTCTGAAGAGAACAAAATGAGAAAGAAAGAAGAAAAAGGCAAGTTATGGACCGTACAATTAAGGCATAGATATATGAATATCCCTACAAAGTTTCCGTGAAATTGTCCCCGCTAGTTTCGTACTTTCCGGGGGCGCCCCTGGTACTTTCATTTCTTCGATGAGAAGATTGAGGGTTTTATTGCCTATTTACGTACACACAATCTGTATTTAATCATCGACCCCCCTTAGAGTTTTTTTGATTGAAATATACAATCGGAGGAAGCAGATCAATAGCTCACCTCTTTTTCAATTGCAGCCGGTTGTTAATCCTTGTTTTTCTTCCTTTTTATTACTGTTATTTATAGCGTCTGGTTACAGTACCTCTTCCAAGTCGTTTGTGTTCTCTCTTCTGGATAAAGAAGGGCTTGCACCATTTAAGAGCATGGTGACGAATACATCATTTGCGGTTTACCGTGGTTCAAGTTGTGGTCCAACATTTGGTGGGGGGCATGACATATACATTGCTGATAATGCTAATCAGAATGCTAATTCCTACACTAATTTTGGTACCTCTTACTCTCTTCCGAATGGAGTTACCAACAGTTCTACAATCCTGGCTGGAACCCGTTACTTTTCACCCGACGAGGTTGAGGTATTTTATCTCGCTTGAGTTCTGTTGACCCCTTGATTTCCATGCGCAGAACTCGTTTGAAATCAATGAAAAATTCACCCCAAAAATCTTTTTAAGACATATTGCAAAGCAGATCATCGAAAAGGCCCAAAATTTTGAGTGGTTATAAGGTACGGAGCCTTAAGATCCGAGGACGGTCGCGTTGGCGAAAACGCCGCTTACTGTTACACCCCTTTCTTTTGATATTCAGTGAATTTGTCAAATGTAGGAGAACTCTACTGAACAACCATTTCAAAGTTAAGAAAGAGGAAGAAAAGTTCATCTTTGCTTGTTTGCGTCTTCCAGAAACGTAAAATAGATTAGGGATATTGTACGTTGTAGTCGTGCAATCGGACGGGCGGTAGAAATGTACAAAAAGGCGTGATGCACGTGCAAAGTCGGAGTGATTAGTAATCTATTGCTTTAATTTCTTGACGTTTTCGCCGCTGCTGCCGTCATTGGATCTTTAGGTCCTTAATCTAAACGGTGTCCCACAGTAGGCTTTAACAGATTATTCTCGAAAAAGTAACATAATATATATGCTATTAGCAGTGCTGGCATATTTCTAAAATGATGCCAATAATTATGCTAGTTTTTGTAAACTATGCTCATTTTAACAAAGAAAAAAAATGCAGAAATTATGCCTTTACTATTTAGTTAAAAGTTGGTAAAAACATCTCAATAGTTATATGCAACACTAAATTAAATGGCAAAAAAATTTACCCTGTTTACATCTAGAAACCTTTAAGAGTGCATTCATTGTCTGACAACTTGGGTAATCATCTTGGGTAACCGTGCTTGTTATGCACATGCGTTGATTCATGTGGAAAGGGACCTGGGTCACCTCCCGTTAGACCAAGGTCCCATGAATGTGATGATATAAGCAGAGAGAGATTGACTTTGTTACTTAAATTTGCCTGTAACTTTCTTGGTGGCATGATCACTATGACAATTTTGTGCTGCAAAACGTTAACCAGCTAAAAGTGCAAATTAGGCTACCAGTGCTTTTTTTTCGAAAAATAGTTGATAATTATGCTCGTGATGACAAATTATGCCAAAAGTTATGCAAACAATTATGCCAGCACAATCTATCAAAGCCTAGCTATGCGACGGTCTGCGACACGATCAGAACTCTGTCTGCGTCTAACGTTTTCAGACATCCCATGGCCAGGACGTACATCAAAGGCAGATATGTGAATTGTTAGCGACTGCAGTCTTTCCAGGTTTGTTTGAATCTTTGTGGCCGAAACACAGGTCTGTCGACGAGGCGACGCAGACCGGTCTCCGATCAGTGTTCCAGATTACATTTACCGTGTCATTTACGCTTCGTTCACACGTTTTCAGATATTTTTTAAAACGGAGAGTTTTTTCTCGATTTCTCTCTCTCTCTCTTTTTTTTTTTTTTTCTTAAAAAACAAAACAAAACAAAAGGATTTAAAAACCGTGAACACGTAGGGTATTTGAATCGTTTTCGCCGTCTACAGAAAAACGAGAAAACGACGGAAATACAATGCATGATAACATCCCTATAGCATCCCTTACAGAGCATACGTAACGCTAGTAGTTCAGTGTTTATGATGTTTTTATACAATCTCTTTAAGGTTCCTAGAGGCTGCGATCCTTTTGCTGACCAAAAGGATCACGGCCTTTGGGAACGAGATTGGTTTTTATAGTATCTTTAATACTTCTTCGTCCGTCCACTCGTAAACGAGAAGCTGGTCTACTTCGGAGAACGTTTCTGAAAACCTGCATTTTGGTGTCCGCAACACCCGCGCGTTTTTTCAAGTGGACGGAAGGCTAAAACGGAGAAAAATACTTACACTGCACATATCAACTTGTGAGACAGAGTCAATCTGGAGCCATTGCAACACAAAGGCTGTTATTGATCGTAGTAATCAAGCATTTAACCCTGTGCAAATTTTAGTTCATAAGTTTTGAAAAAGAAAGAGGTGCTTTGCTAATTCTGTTTGGTTGAGATTTAGTTGCATTTGCATAAAGCTTACAAAGGTATGGGGGTCTTTCTTGAAGAGCTAGCTATAGCTTGGAGAGCTACCTATTACGCATGCGTCACCCGTTATACAATATCAGTGCACGATTACAGCCAGTTATTAATGACTCCAACCTAGAAATATTAAGACTTGTGGTGACTAATCTCGTACCCAGATTTTATATCTGTCTTGGCCATGGGAGATCTGGGTACGAAATTAATGCAGTTAGGTAACGTAACTGAGGGTTATATTTCCAGCTGTGAAAGTGTGACCTGAAGTTTAGTCAGGCTAGTCCCTTGGCATTCCCCTCTCGGTTGCGTCACAGCTCACGGCAGAGTCCAGGTTTGATTGAGCAAAGGACGCCTTAAGGCCTAAAGGTTGTATTCACACTATATTGGAAAGCGTTTGCACTGGCACGAAAAACATACCGGATAGGGCTTCTGTTCACACATAAAAACGGTGATTTTAGCGCGATTTCTGTAACGGGGTGAAGCTACGCCTCCCCGATCTCAGACGTAGAGAGTCACATATTGGATATGCGTTCACGCTATACCCAGCTTTTCATACGGGTATGAAATTAACGGTATCCGTTACAGTGTAAACAAGCCTTTGCTGAAGTCCTGTAACACGAGCTCTAACCTTAACAATAAAGCCCTCAGTCGCGCAGCTGAAACTTTAATTTAACCTATCAATTATCAGTCGTCGTTGTATTAAGCTGAGATTTATTAACTTGTTTGTTGTAAGCCCAAGTACAATATTAAGTTGTTTTTATAGCAGAGCATGGAGCCACTTTTCTTAGTCCCGAAAAATATATGTATATGGATCACAGATCGAGTAAAGTCTTATGACGAAATAAGTTAAGCAGGATCATCGATCCGCGAAGAAAAAACGTAGTATTGTATCTAAACAATAAAATGGATAATGGCTAAATGCAAAATTCAGTATACCTACCAATAACTGAGAAACTAATTTAATAAGAGAGTGTATTCGGCATACCAATCCTATTAATTTCAGAAGACGAAATTATCATCCGATAAAATTTCTAAAGAGGAATACCAGCACTAATTTTCGGGAAAAAAATAACGAACAACAGGAAAAACACAAAAACAAAGGACGGCTTTGCACGTCGACTCCTCGAAGCTTATAATTTTGATGCTTTATTCGCCATAACCTTAATGCCCTTTGAATTTCTACATGTGAGACTTTTTACTTTATCAAATATGTATACGGGACGGATTGAAATTTCAATACATGGGATTTGTGTGGCGATTACACTCTTCAAGGCACATTTTATTACTTGACATGGAGAGATCGATATCGGTTAAATTATGTGAAAGTTTTCACCTGTCAGGTTACGAATGTTCCTTGTATGACATGATTCATATGAAGTCATTGAAAGCTCTTGGACTCAACACGTGCGCATGCTCGCGAAAGCCATTCCACTGCACCTCAACTTTCAAGACTGTGAAAACAAGAGCAAATAGAAATCAAAGATTGAGATAAGTTTAATTCTCACGGGATTTGGCTTGCCTAGTCCCTGTACGGCGTCTTCCCATGCCTTCTCGGTCAATGCATTTCGGTGACGTATCCGAGGCTCGGGCCACCTGATCTAAAACGCATCGGCCGCGCACAATAATGAGGCAGCTTGAGTCCTAGGGCGGACTAGGCAAGGGTTTGGCTTGGTTAACAAATGTGGCCGTCGTTCATTGTTTTGGAACTAAGGCCCAGCGACATCATGTAAAAACACTCCATATATGTCAGAGACGAGCTGTCTGAAAAAATGAGAGTACCCATACATTAAACTTTGGCTATATTACAAGCTGGGCGCATAAAAAACAAACAAACAAACAAACAACAACAACTCTTCTACCATAAAAAACGCACGTTGTAATAAAGAGCACTTTCTACATCAGCTTCTTTTTTTGTTGTTCGTTTTGTAATGTAATGTAAATATCGCTATCTGGGATAATTTACAACACTGGTTGGGGGACTTTGCCTGACTGCTTAAGGTGGAGTTTTACAAATAATGAGGGAACTAGTAATGATGCCCCCATACATGAGTGTGAAAGTGAGATAGACCATTACACCGGGCACTACGTGCCCTAATCTTTTCGAAAAGTGTGTGGCTTCTTTGACGCCCCACAAATTTATTATATGTGCAAGGGCTTGTGATACGGGGCCTAAAGTTTATCGCCCTTATCCGAGAAGACTAAGAAGTCAAACCCGCGTTTGCAGATGTTATTACAAAGGCAGCGCGTTCTCTTCAGTTATTTAAAGAGCCTGAGTGTCGGTCCGGCCGGGGTTTAAACCTACGGCCCTTCGCTCAGCAGACTGGCGCTTATCCCATCACGGAGCTAACCGGGCGGCGGTTTTCATGCCTTGTAGAAACCCCTGTGTTCCTTAAGGTGTTTCGATAAAGTTTTTCAGAGGCCATACCGATATTTTTCAATCGCCTTAAAGTGGTTTTTTTCCTCGTGCGATCGCTATAAAATTTTCACCAGTAATTGGCTATGGATTGAAATTTGTGAAAATGTAGTTTTAAGTAAAATCGATATTACTATGACAATAATGAACAAAAAACTTTGAAAAGATAAAATCCGAATTTTGTGTGATCTAGACCATCTACCGAAAATCCAACACTAGGAACTTAAAGTTTGGTGTTTTAGCAAGCAATCTCCGTAAGAAAAGAAAAATTCTGTACGTTTGAATTCGACTGAAACGAAAATATATTTCAAACTTTAAATTTATAGCCGTGATAGATCATTTAAAAAAAAACGTTATAAATGACTCAAATTATTCTTAAGTAGCGTCAGAATGCTACTTAATATCATATTTCGAAGCTACGAAATTTTTGTATATTTTCGTTCTTGATATCTTAAAAACTAACCCATTTTCTCACCACCTGTATAAGTGCAACTTCGTTCAAAATTTGGACTTTTAGCACTTTTTGGTATATCTCTGAAACGACTTGAACGAATTTTTTTAAAATCTCTTCACATAATCTTCGCAATGTATATAATAATGTCTGAAACTTTCATTAACATCGATTCACTGCAACACCTTGAAATTTCAATCTTTCCAAATTAATGCGGACAATACATATATCCATGACTAGCACATTTCAGTGTGAGCATTGTCAATGTTTTACATTCAAAAGATGCGATAAATTCAAACTAAAATGTAACTAGTCATGGAGATATGTACAGTGCGCATTATTTTGGAAAAATTAGCAGAACGTCCAGACAGTGAATGTTGTAAAGCAGATTTTTGACAGGTTCGCAGGATAGTTTCTCTTGAAATTTTAAGATGTTAATTACAGTGAATCAATCTCAATGAAAGTTTCAGACCTTATTATATACATTATGAAGATTATGTGAAGAGATATTAAAAAAGGTTTTCTGCAGTGACTGACCGAAGGCAATCCAAACCTAGACGTAAATGGACAGAACAAATGAACGCCGACCCTCTAAGCTGCAAACGCGAGGCCGTGGCTATGACGCAAATGGAACAACCATTGCTTGATTGTTATGGGAAGAAAAGAGGTTTATCAGAATCATAAAAGAGCTCTGGAATACGAAAGGATGTGGCGATCTCGGACTCTCAAGCCTGAACTTACGCGATCAAGCAGCTAGACTGGAAATTTACCATGCGGTGCAAAGACCGAGGGCGCAGCAATTCATTGAAACTGTTTGAGATTCAGTTATTAAAGTGTATTTCACTGATTTAAAAACTATTTTTACTCAATTGAAGGTATTTTTATTATAAGTTACGAACAAAACCAAAATAGTCATAGGCTTAAAAAGTATTTGAGATCTATTTTAAAGCTATTTATAAAATTTTAGAAGGCTTTCCCTGTATTTGAAACTCAGTTTGGCATTAAAACTACATTTCAAACACATACTTCATCTATCTTTTCAGAAAAAGAGTACTGATGGGTAACTCAAACCTTTTTCAAATACCATATTTAAATCGCGTTTAGAACGAATACCGTTCTTTAGTAATTTAAAATGTAGTCTTAGAATTAAGGGACGGACCATTAGAAAAGTGATGGCGGGGGGGAAGGAGGGGAATTTTCAGCTCGCACGAATTTTTTTTTTTTTTTTCGCTCACTGCTTGTGCAGGAATTTTTTTTTCAGGTGAACCCCTCTGCACGAATTCTTTTTCTCAGACAAATATTGCTTTTTATTGAACAGTGAAATCTTGATTCATTATCTAGGCACTTTCACGTCGCAGCCGTACAATTACGTTAAAGAAATATACAAAAAGCGTAATGTACGTCCAAAGTTATTGTCCCGTTCTCGTTGCCGTCGCCGTCGTCGTAGCTTAATCTCCCTAATAGCCAAGGGTATTTTAAGTTACGCACAATTTGCCATCCACTTATTTATTAAGGGGACTATGTCACGTTATTTGCTATGTTTTTGTTTTTGTTTAGTTTTTTTTTTCACTTAATTGAATTGGAAAATTAGTACATGAAATCACATTGTGTTATTTGAGACTAGCTTTAGGCACTGAAACTGTTCCCTGTGGTCTGTTCAGTGCAATTAAGGATGGCAAGGATAGACATGGACTGAAACTTGGAGAAGTTGGGCCAACGTTTTCAAGTTTTAATGTCGTGGCTACAAAAAGTGCTCGCTGGTGAAATTTGCTTGATATCTTCTTCATAACTCCACAGGAGCATTTTGTATATGGGTAAAGGCACAAAGTAATGACTGCAGCACATAATTGACCTAAAACAGCAATGCTGTCGGGGATACGTCACGTTTCCTTTTGTTATTGTTTTTGGTGGTGGGCATGACATATACGTTGCTGATAATGCCAATCAGAATACTAATTCCTGCACTATCCAACTTTGGCAGCTCTTACGCTCTTCCGTATGGAGTTACAGACCGTTTTACAATCCTGGCTGGAACCGATTACTTTTCACCTGACGAGGTTGAGGTATTTTATCCCGCCGTGAGTCCTTATAGTTGATGAAGCTATGTCACGATTTTTTTTCTCATTATTTGAAAAATTCTAAAGACACATTGGAATAACAGAAAATCCTGAAATAATGGTTCTGTTTTGGTTAAAATTACTCTACTACTAATATACCTCAACTTTTACGTGTGTTTCTTCAGCTTCCCATGACAAGGATGAAAACGGATTGTCGATGGCTAGTGGTGGATAGAGCGATTTTCGTATGACCTTGAAATGAAAACGACCCAACAAAACAGAAACAACAAACGAACCGAAATAGAGAAATTTAATTGGTTTATCGAACGGATAGAAACGCACGTGGCTTTTGGTTGGTTAAGCGAACGAGAACTTTCTAGAAATCAACCGATATTTCGCTTTGACGTCATACTGCGACACGATTGGCCAATCGAACAATGCCTTCTCCGTATTAAGGTTTTCTTTGGCGGGAAAATGAAGAAGGCATGTGTTGATCTTTTCATACATTGGCTGATAAGGCAAGTAACGAACACTTACCGAAACCATTTTTCAAGGTCATACGAAAATCGTTCTATTCACCTCTCCGCTTCGCAATTCAAAATGTTTGCCGATATATTGCCAAAAAGTTTTGAATGATGGTTAGCATATATGTAATATGTAAAGTCACGCAAAAAGTTTTGCTCGAATTGAGTCCGATTGGACAATTAGCAATCATTATGAACTTGAAAATGGAGTCGAGATGACACCGAAACGTCGTTCGTTCTTATCCGCGTTATTTTTTACTTCTTTCTGTGTTACTAAACTTTTGCTTATTAAAACATTACTTCCCAGCAAATTTTCGCTGCCGTGTGATGAAACGTCGACTCCCTTCAGTCCTCTGCCTGGTCTCACGACTTTTTCGCTTATTTTTATTGTTCCCTTAAATTTAAAATGCCGTAAGTCAACTGGTTATTTTAAACTTCAAGTGCAGTAGTGATAAATTTCAAATATTGAATAAGGCAGTCTAGCCTGAGTATCAGGCCTTCCTAAGGGGCTAGGGGAGAGAAGATTTTAGATGGGGTAGGGGGAGGAGGAGAAGAGAAAGGAAGACCTGACACAAAACCATTCAGCAAATCGTGTGACACATCCAAAATCTGGATGTGGCAGTGATTGGATAACAGACAATACTCCCTGACGTCCCCGACCGCAAGTAAATACAACAACAAAAACAACAAAATACGAGCAGAGGAATCGGCAAGGAGAAGCCATTGAGAATTTTCATCGATGTTTTGATTTCATGTGGTACTTTTATGGACAGAGACGCAGAGAGGAATTCAAAACGGCTCTAGAGGGCGCTCTCAAGTTCTTTCCTGGAATGAAAATAACTGCTGAGCAAGAATTGTGTTTTCAAAGCTTAGTAGTTAAAAGAAAAGATGTTCTCGGAGTATGGAAAAGCCTCATATACCAGCTTCTCCTGAAACTATGTCCGAGTACTGGTTTCACAAGACCAACAGAAAGAAGACGATATCAGTGCTTCAGATATCTAATTAAGTTCTGAATGATTTACAACATCCTGCCGTTGAAAGGGTATTGTTACTGTAAATAAAATTAGTGCGAGGTAGCCATCTATTGAGAATAGCCGACAGCACCGAGGCTTTAGCTTGACCGTGGCGGTTACGATAGCGTACTTGACTGGAATTCGGTCGCTTCCTCCTCCAAAATTTTTTTCACTTTTGAAATGTCTTAAGCTCAAGCAGGCACCATCATATTTCGCCAACGGGATTGACCTTTGCTATAGGCTATCACTTCTTTCTTAACTGAACTTGTAACAGCTTTCACGAGCTCTCTGTGAATTGGTGGAATTTGCTGCTTCTTGATAATTTTCTCGCATAGGTGTTTCACCATCGCACCTTCCTATTTATTCTTGCAGCTCCTTTCAACCACCCGAGAATACGAGGGATAACCAACAAAACCTTGGACGATTCTTTGCCTGATGTACATCAGCTTTTTAGCTGCTAGACTCTCAGGAACCTGTTTATTAATGAGCGCATGTTGTAACACTGTAAACAAGAGCAATTTACAATTTTCAGGGGACACGTTTATTTAGAAACAGAGCGTTGGCGATCTTTACACTAGCGCAATTCCTAAAACATGTTACAAATCCTCAAAAACGGTAGGTTTTCCATTACAAGTATTCGAAAACTGTGTAGGTTTCAGAAAAAAGCGAAATCGTAGCAAAGCACCACAAAGCACCGGAGTTGGGCCAGACCGTAAGGCGACATTTATTTTAGGTGAGCTTTTTGACACGTGAAGCTGACAACCCAATGACCGGAAGTGATTTTGATTGGATGGTATCGAGTCATGCTGTGTGGGGGAGGAGGGCTCCAGTAAAAGCATCTGTGTCAGGCGTTTCTATCCTTCAGCTCTCTCCCCTTTTCACTTCCATCTTTCCCCTTTTCCCCCAGAAACGCCTGATACTCAGGCTAAAGGCAGTCTAAATCATCGGCAGCAAGTCAGCGATGGAGTGCACCCTCGCAAGGCTTCATGAGTTGGCTGCTCGATTGCAAAGCTTCTTTTAGATTCGAAAATTTATTAATCGTCTGATCGATTTGGGCAACGGATCTCTGATTTCAGAAATTGTCACAGATATACTGTTCACTTTTAGAACAAGCTACTCAAATATGAATGTAGGACGATTGATTGAAAAAAAAAATCTGCTCTAAAAGGACGCTCCGGTTGCAAAAGTGGAATCTGACGCTGGTTGTAGACCTTGCGCGATTTGAAACCTATAGCCGGCTTGCTTTGTAATGTTGAATTATTGATATTATTAACGCGCCACTTAGTCTGTGTTTCGTTGAAGTTTTACCGCCCATTATCTGCTCGTAGCATGATACTTACAATTTGTAACCTTCAGTATATAGGAGCTAAATATGTTCTTTTGGAAAGTTAAGGTGCTTTCCTTGGGTTAGCCAGTACTCCAGTGTGATTTGCAGTAAATCCTTTGGTAGGAAAGCACATAGTTTTTGCTATTTCCCTGTTTAGTTATTCTGAGGGGTGATTAGCATATTAATAATTTAAGTAAAGCCCGCTCAGAATCTCCATTTTTTGGTTATTTATTTCCTAGTTATGCAGGGTAATTTCAACCAAACTCAGCGTGGGAGTATTAAGGGCAAAATTAGTCTCACTGGTAACTTGCCCTGCAGTAACTCATACAAGAAAATTAATTGAGGAAGTTCTCGTTTTATCCATATTATGTTGATAAAACGATTTCTAAGTTCACCAATCACCAAGCTCCATTTTAAGAGCTCTCGGTAGCCCCGATCACGCTCAGAGATATTTTCACCTGGTCCATTGAAATTTTGTAAAAACAATTAAGTTGGAAATACGTCTGCAAAATTCAACCCGCCGATAATTTCCCAATGTCAGGATATAGTCTTGAAACAAAGATCATTTTTTTTGTTTCTTTTCTTTTCTTTTTTTTTTTTTTGGATCGTTAATGGATAAATATTGATAAACTCGAAAGCAACGGGAATTTAACAAGTCTTGAAACTTGAAAGCTGTCATGGCTAATTGTGTTGAAGCATAATATTTTCAACAATGGTTCATTAATATAATTGAAGTTAATTGGACAAATAATAAAACTACTCTCCTGGGAGATATTTAAAAGCAGTTATTAAGCTTTTTAGTTTCTTGAATTAATCACTTGCAAATGTGAACATACTGCTCTCCCTCTATATGCTCGTTCTCCCTCTGTCTTGGAGATAAAATATTTGAAGGAAGTTTTTTTTTTAAACTTTTTAGTTTCTAGAGTTAATAATTACTTGAAAAGGGCATAATAATCCGCTCGCCCTCTATTTCTTTCCCCCTCAGTCTTGGGTCTCTTGAAGACGAAATATTTGAAAGCAGTTTCTAAACTTTTTGTTTTTGCTTTTGTAATTTTTAGATTTAACTGCTTGCCAGGGTGAAAATACTTTTTTCCCTTTCTCTGTCTCAGCATTAAAACTTATCAAATTCCCTAAATAAATATGTCTTTACAACAAGACGAGTTGTTAATTATTTATTGATGGTTATTGATTCACTCTGATGAATATTGTTTAACGTTAAGCATAAACACGGTTATGCGACATAGTTCGGAAAGGTGGGTGTTTGTTTGAATGCAGTTCAGGCAGAATTAATCAGTTACTTAAAAGCTCATGACATCTGCATAAGATGGAAAACCCAGTAATTCTGCGGAGAAACCACTTCTTTTTTCTGTGGATCTTTTCCACCCTTCAAACTGATTCTCAAGGTACATAAAATCCATTTTCTATTTCTTTAATGGTGATTTTTATTGTGACATGAAAAAAAGAACGTGAAAATCTCATATTTCCCTCTCTTCTTTTAAAAAGCTTTCAGTCAAGGATCGATTGGCAACTTTTTCTATGTCAACTTCATGATAAGTGAATTTTCCTACCTGAATATCTCCAGTATTGGGCGGAATCTTATTAAAGACGAAAACGATTGTGGCTACGCCTGTCTAGAAATTCCTTCGTGTTTTTCCTACAACGTGGCCGCCTTTCCTGATGTCAACGGTAAGCTTCTTTGCGAACTCCTGCCCTCGGACAAGTTTAACAACTCGAACAAGTTCAACGCCAGCAAAGAGTTTCATCACTTTTATATTCCGGTAAGTCAAACTTCTAATTAATCATAAATGTTCCTTCCGGGGAAAATAGAAAGCTTCTTCTTGTTTGTTTTGTGTGTTTAGTTTCTTTCGACTCTCCCTAGTTTCGAAAGTTACGTATCTCTTTGATTGGAAAATCTTGAATGCAGCAGAGGATTAGATTGTGCTTTTAATGCAAAGACATTGACTAATGAGTTTGGGTGAGCCTTACCCTTTAGACTCTTAATTGAACCGTCTGCTGACACCCAAACATACTTGATGAAATCGATATATTTATCTTCGAATGCCCTAAACGTTAACGAGGGAGGAGTTGCAGGCAGAGCTCTCGACTGTTTTATTTGCTGACAAAAAGCGTTTAGTTCGCAAAGCACATTTTTTTACCATGAAGTTTCCTCATTTATTTGTTTGCCTATATTTGACCTGCCTTAAAAGTTACAGAAACGTTTTAAAACTCTTAGTTTAGGCTGATCTGCTGCCGGTTAAATAGATCGACTATATCAGGACAACGTCTTGAAAGGCAAATTTCTGGGTAAATGAGACAGCGTTGACTTTCAAAACCTCACTAAAAACTCAACTAAGCAAATCCAGCGGGGAGTGCAAAAGATAAAAATATATATTACTTGCCGTCCTTAATTATATCCATGTCATTTAAGCATCGACATGAATGTCAAATTCGTTGCTTCTTGAATTCATGAAACAAAGCAAAAGGGAAACGAAGAAAATTCAATCCCAACGTTTCCTTACTGAAAGTTAACTGAGGCCCCGAAACTTTCTCATTTTCTAGTGCTTTTCTTGTTCTGTTTGGACATTACTATGGCAACACAAAACACCTAACCTGTTCACCTATGGGAACATTCAATCGAGGGAATTCGTATCCATTAAACGTTCCAGGCAATAAAGGAATTTAAACGAGTTAACTGCCTTGTTGAAACAATTTTAATTGTACCTAGTTCTTCTTCCTTTTTCACATAAGAGAAGCACGTTGCCCCTATAATGTTTGCCTGATTTAATGGGATATTGCCATAGCAACGCACATTTAAAGATAAAATAATGAACTGTTCGCGATCGTGTTTCGTTATCATAAAAAACCGCTTTTGTTATTGCGTCACAAGAAATACATGTT